TATAGGTATTGGTTCACCAATAGAAATCCAATATAAAACTCTAGGTTTCAAGCGCTGCGGAGGTCGGGGTTGGTGTTTCCAACTTCGAGCTTCCTTCATTAGGGCTGTGGCATTTCACAAGCCAGTTAGAGGGTTTAGGGTTTAGGGTTTAGGGTTAAGGGGTTAGAGCATAACGAACTACATCATCATGTCACCATATTACGGGGGACCGAGTTTACTGATAAATGTTCGGAGAACTTCCGCGGCATCAGAGGGCAATCCGGAATAAAAGCACCCGCTGTTTTGCTGCTGGGTAGCCAGCATGTGCAGAAAACAGGCTTTTTGCTGCATTCAGTGCTCAAAAGTACATGTGGCCAGTGGTCACGCATGCGGGCTTGTTCAGCAACTGTATGCATCACTTCCCCGCAAACAATGCCTTTCAACAGCCACCCAAAACTACCATGGCCACCAATGTCGGCACGCCTATGCTGTACAAGATGCCCCTAGGCACCTCGGCTATCACTTTACATGTTGTTGACATCAAAGACGGCCACGTGTATCCTAGTACTTCAGCTGCAGCACGAACTCCCACTTGCCGGATGGGGACTCCACTCCCATGACCGTGGCACCGAGACCATAGGCATCGTAAGGGCCACCCGTGTCAGAGCCGGAATTTGGTGCATTTGGCTTGAAGCCCCACAATTCACTGCATTTCTGAAGCACGCAGTCCACATTCTGGCCCAAAGTCATCTGCAGGCTGCCGAGGTTCGAGGTGTCCACATCCTTCTTGCTGAAACAAGCCTCAGCGAAGTGGATGAGATCCGTCTCCTGCTGCTCTGTCGCATCGCCACGGTGGTGGCTATGCACCGTCACGGGCACATGACTGGCATTGTCGGCCGCCTTTAAGCCGGTGTGCCCCTTGCGGAGCATGAACTGCCAACGCCCGGAGGGCGTCTCCACCGCAATCATGGTAACACGTGAACCGACTCCGTAGATGTCATAAGGACCGCCTGTGTCAGACCCAGAGCCCACAAGTACCGGGTGCCAGCCCCAGGCGGCGTCCAGATTGGTCAGCACGCAACCCGTGGCCACGCCCAAAGTCCCTTGGAGCACTACGTCACCCTGGTTGGTCAGCACCGCATTCCGTGTGAAACAGTCCTGCGTTACCTTCAAGATGTCCCCCAGATGATTGTTATCTGCCCAGCCTTGCAGAATGCACCTGGTCGAGATGCTGCTCTTGCGACTCAGGAAGTCTTCTCGTGCCAAGCCCAGGCACAGGAGTGAGCAGAAAAGGGCCTTTCGCATCATGGCAACCACGGCAGCTCCCTAAACCCTGAACCCTAANNCCTAAACCCTAAACCCCTGAACAATGGGCCTACGCCTCGGCAGATTGAGGCTCCAGCCCTGACACCTACTGAGCAGACAGGGCACCCGATCCAGTAACGGATGACCAGCTGGGGTTTAGGGTTTAGGGAGCCTGAGTGGCAAGTTTCGAGCCACCAACACCTACCCAAAAAGCACCCCCCAAAAACTCTACAACCCGCCTCTAGTAGGACCTTGCCATAAAATAAAAGCCCGCCTTCGAGGACCCTACCTTCAACCTTTGACATGGGCAGTTCGGAGGCCTCTGCGTTACGCCGGCCAGGTAGGTCAACTAACATTATCCCTAGCCCCCAGGTACCTACTATATACCTATAGTCTCCTTTGTAGTTCCTTTTTTTGGTTAAACCACTTTTATATTTAGGATCCTAAAAGGGAGCCCCAAAAAGGAACTACACTGGAGACTCTAGGTAGGGCCTAAAAGCTCTAGTACCCTATATAGTAGGTACCTGAGGGACGAGGGTATAGGGGTCTTTTCCTGTCAATTGGTGTTGAGTGTACTTCACACCAGAAATCTAATGCAGATATACGGATGCTGAGTATTCCGACCCGTACATTAATTACTACCAGCAAGATCGAAAAGCGTGCAAGAAACCTTTGCTGCTCTCAGCCGCCCTGAACCCTAAACCCTAAACCCTCTTGCCGCCAGAGCACCGCATGGTGGCGGTTCTGCACAAAGTGTGCACGATCAGAGGCCGACCCCTGCGAGGATCCCACCTCCAAAGCAGGTCCAATGACATTGCAGCATGGCTGTGATTATTCTATACCATCGATGGTTGTGGTTGCGGTGGTGGTCGTGGTGGTGGTGGCGGAGATGGTAGTGGTGTCGCCGGGGTTGTAACACAGACGGTAAAGGTCTAGATGATGTTAAATGACGGCGACGATGATACCAATGAAGACAGCTGTGGCGACATTGACACGATGACGATGATGATGAAGAATAAGATGATGATAATGACGATCCTGATAACGATAGTGATGACGATGATGGCGGGGATAACCATGCATGTGATGACAATGTTGTTGTGGCCGTTGTTGAAAATGGTAGCGATGTTGATTATGGTGACGAAGTAGCAGCAGCAGCAGCGGCAGCGCTGCGGCTGCTGCTGCTGCTGATAGCGGCTATGACTATGATAACAAGTATGGTGGGAAGAATGCTGCTGATGCTGCTGATAACACTGATGATGATAATGCGAAGATGCCAAGAACATGTTTGAGGATAATCTTCAATGGTGAAACTAGCACGAGCCAGTGGCAATGATTATGCTAATGATTGTGGTGGTGATGTTGATGGTGATGATGATGATGATGATGATGATGATGCTGTTGACTGTGTTGAAAGTGATGATTGCAATAATGTCGTGCCTGGCACAGGCAATGACGGTGATGCTGACTGCAATGATGTTTGTACTGATGGTCACGACGCCAATGACGAACAACATGCTACACGCAAAAAATGTGATACTAAGAAGCTGGTGATGGTATTGATGATGATGATGATGATGACGAAAGCTGGCGATGAGGATAAGGAGGTGGAGGTGGAGAAGGCGGAGGATGAGAAGGAGGAGGGGAGGAGGAGGATTCTGATGATGACGACGTGTGTGATGCTGTCATATGCTGTCATTGATGGTCGGACGGCGACGAGAGTGATGAGCACGACTATGCTGACAACGAGGCTTACGTAATGATGATGGTTGTGGCAATGAAACTTGATGAAACTACGCCAGGTGACCATGACACTGCTCATGATGCTGTCGTTGCTGTTGCTGTTGGTTGTTGTTGCCGCTGTTGTTGTTACTGCTGATATTGTTGTTGTTGTTGCTGCTGCTGCTAAAGGCGTAGTAATAGTAGTAGTAGTAGTAGTAGTAGTAGCAGTAGTAGTAGTAGTAGTAGTAGTAGTAGTAGTTGTTGTTGTTGTTGTTGTTGTTGGTGGTGGTGGTGGTGGTTGTGGTGGTGGTGGGGGTGGTGGTGGCCTTGTTGTTGTTGGTGGTGGTGTTGGTGTTTGTGGTGTGGGGAATCATGGTGATGACGACGACAGGAGGGGGCAATGGCGATGATGCTGGCATGGTGATGACGACGATGATGATTAAACCCGAGCAGGTGGCACTACCTCGACCTCCAAGTCTCCAACACCTCGACCTCCAAGTCTCCAACACCAAGATACTCATGCATTCTATGTTATCTGTTCATCATATATTTTGTACATTGCATAATCTGCCTTATTTAGAATATATAATGTAGCCTGATCAAGGGAGGTGGCTCAAGTCCCAAACTTCTTTCGAGACAAACGCGACCTGTGACAGGAGGGGCTGCCGCTCATCCTCTTGGTGTCGCTCCAAGAGCAACCTCAGCAAAGCACAGCTTGCCTAGCCCTAACCACCCAGGTACCTACTATATAGGCTACTAGAATCCCTAGGGCCCTCTGTAGTAGGCACCTGGGGGTTTAGGGTAGACTGGGAAGCAACTGCAGCTAAACTGGTTAATACTAGCAGTGAGGGTAGTTGCGTTGGTGATGATGACGATGATGAGAATGAAGACGGTGCTTGTCGTGATAAAGAGAAGGACGGTGATGGTGATGACGGTGGCCATGATGATGACACTCATGATGATGCCGATGATGAGATGAACATGATGGCTCTGCTTAATTATGGGGGGTAACAAGATAATGATCTTGATTCTCTGATGAGTAGGAGCCGGATGAAAAGGAATAATGTGATCTTGCAGATGACGAAAATGCCGGTGGTGGTGGTGGTGGTGGTGGTGGTGGTGGTGGCAATGAAGAAATCAAGGAAAAGGTACGTGTGCAGGTGAAGCCGGCTATTGAGCTCATATAACTTATCATGCCGCTTGATATGTCGTTTCTCTGAGTATCTCTGTTGCTATTTTCTGTCAACAGGTACCGCCTGGTCTGCTGATGATCCGGCAACTGCAGCTCAAACTTGGGGCAATTCACACCCTGGTTGCCAAGACCTTCATTCACAAAGACCCTGATCTTGCTCGGATGTTGTGGATCGATAGAAACACAGTGACCCTCCAGACGTAGAGCATAAATCTCCGCTGGATGTGACCAAGCAGCGAAGGAACGACGTAGTTTAAGAGACTGTGTGGGTCAGGAGTCATTTTCGAACATCTTTCCAAACCCACAGCCGGATACCACAGAGACTCCGAACCACCAAGCAACTCAGCAGTCTCAATCTTCCGAGCGCACTTGCATGCCACTGCGCAAAGCCCGAAATTCTCGGCTCTACGGCAGATAGCCATACTCGAGATGTTTAAGCCTGGAAGGATACACTGACCACCAAAGGTGTCATACTCTCCGAAGCCGTACTGTCCCGAAAAATTGGACCGCTAGCCACAAGCGAAAACAGGTCGGAACAAGTAGTAATAGTGCTGCAGCATCCCCGGATTCTCCCGATAAAACTGATAAAACCATAGTATAATGTACCAAAGCCCTATTCTAGTGTGTTCGGCCCCTACATTAGAACATGTTTGAACCCTTATAATGGCGATGAAAGCAATCCTCATAGAACCCATATCCAAGGTGGAATATACCACCCAAAGTCCTATTCTGACTATCACGCCCCTCTACAAAAACCCTACAAACATCGCTGTTAAGGCTTATAATAATAGAAAGCCATTAACATATATACCCCAAACCCCAAACCCTAAATTATTTTGAATATAAATAAATAAATATACATATATATATATATGTGTGTGTGTGAAACAATCATTCCAGGCACCGGTCAAAGTCGCCCTCGACGTAACGTCGGAAATAGTTGGCAGTACCGGGATCAAAGCCCAGGCCCAAAAGAGACCTTGGAGTTGACTCACGGAAAGTAATGGGTTTGGGGTTTATCGGGTTTAGGGTTTAGGGCTTAGGGGCCCACGGAAAGTAATGGGTTTAGGGTTTGGGGTTTATAGGGTTTGGGCTTTAGGGTTTAGGGCTTAGGGGCCCACGGAAAGTAATGGGTTTGGGGTTTGGGATTTAGGGTTTAGGGTGTAGGGACTCACGGAAAGTAATGGGTTTGGGGTTTGGGCTTTAGGGTTTAGGGTTTAGGGACTCACGGAAAGTAATGGGTTTAGGGTTTAGGGACCCACGGAAAGTAATGGGTTTGGGGTCTAGGGCTTAGGGCCTTGATAATCGGAATAGGGCTTTGGGGTATGTTCTACTATAGTCATAATAAGGAACCCGCAATCATAGTATAATGTTATAAGTAAGTATTATACCCTATAAACCCTACACCCTAAACCCTAATAAAGCCCCTCTATCAGAATCTGGCCGGGGTTCTCGGTTGGTGCTGATTGATGGGGTGTATGAGGGTTCAGGGTTTAGGGTTGAGGCTGGATATCCCGAAGGGTCCATGTACCCAAATAGCATATACATTGGCCGTAAAGTACCTATATAGGGACTACTTTAAGGCCAAAGTACATCTATTTGGGTACATGGACCCTTAGGGTATGGTTTGTTTCTTCTTTCCCCAGGCCACGAAGCGGTAAACCCGATGTAAGGCTGGGATCCAGGGATTAACCTAAAGCCGCAGAGACGCTTTTAGAGGCGCTTCGGCATTTGAGGGATGCTTGAAGCCTTTTACTTACCACGGGTTGGTCCATGTCTCCCATAATGGAAAGCTCTAGTTTAGGGTGCATGGCATGGCTTAAGTTTTAATTAGCGTGCCGATGCTTCGTGGTTCAGCCACACCTGATGCGACGGAAGCGGTGATGTGCCGAGAAGAACCACCTGATAGAGAGGCGTACCCGTATACAGCTGCGGACATATAATGCCACCCACACCCACACACACACACAGGGGATGAAGAGCTCTTCAGGCGGCTTAATGGAAAACACATGCTTCTTGGCTAATTAGTGTGCATGAACATGTCTGTGTATGCATGTATGAACGGAAGAACGAACGAATCTGTGTGCCA